TATTGGAACGCAGGCATCCCAAGAAATATAAATTGAAATCAAAAACGTTCTTTGGGAAAGGGAGAAAACTTTATTGAGTAAATTTTCGACGTCGGTTCCCCGTGTCGTCGTCAGACTAGAGTAAATGTGCTGAAAACAATTATAATGATAGAGGGCGCTAACCAATTTATCTTACGAACTCACTCGTTCCGTTTTGCCTTATGGGCTCTCTCTCGAGCCCAACCAGCAGCCGCACAGAGGCGCATGCTATAGGCTGAATGGCCTTATCGACAAAGAACTATCAGTGAGCGCCCCCTACCATTGTATATTCCCGATCGAAAACCTACAGCGCAACGAGCTCATGTCTCAGTGTTTGGAGGCGTGGACTTCTTACTAACCGGGTGCTAGTTCGAGCCTCGGGTTTTCCACACTTCGTGGTTGGGTATGACTGGCTGACGACGACTAATAAGCCAGAAATGGCCATTTCAGTCTCCCTTGTCTTTGTCGGTAGTGTCATTCTGCCCATATAATGCGCCGCTGTGCGGCTGCTGTTTGGGCTCTAGAGCGAGCCTGTAAAGCACAACGGAACGAGTGTGTTCCGTAAGAACTATCAGTGAGCGCCCCCCTACCATTGTATATTCCCGATCGAAAACCAACAGGGCAACGTGCTCGTGACCCAATGGTTCGAGGTGTGGACTTCTAACTAACGGGTCGCGAGTTCAAGCCTCGGGTGTTCCACACTTCGGGGTTGGGTATGACTGGCTGACGACGGCTAATAGCCAGAAATGGTCATTTCATTCTCCCTTGTCTTTGTCGGTAATAACATACTGCATATATATATATATATGAAAAATAGAAGAGGTTCTTCGGAAAAGTTGAGTTGTACTCGTATATATGCAAATTGCCTTCCATTCCCTGTTTTAAAGTCCTACCAAATATATTGAGTCTGCTATCAATTGTGCTGGCAAAATCTAGGCTGTTGGGTTTGACGTGTAAGATTTTCATCTGGTAACTTTGTCAAAGTCATACCCAGAGGAGACAAATAAAGTGCTTACAGGCATAGTTTTATGAATATTTAGCCTTTACGAGTGGGTTTGAAAAATTATTGCGAAATATGAATACTCTTATGAAAATAATAATGGTACTCATCGACCGTTAATCTCTCCGAAAGCCATCTTAATCCTGTAAAATACTCAACAACCGGAACACGATTGCCCAAGTGAAACAAGTAGTCCCGGTAGACAAAACCTGTGATGAACCCAAAGGGAGGGGGAAGTAAATCGTTAAAGCAACGCCTGACCTAGCTGAGGTAGCAACCAAGGAAAAGCAAAATGGCAACTCTTTAGCGAAACCATACACTCAACTAAGGGTGTCAGCACTGAAGACTGTAGGTGCCATTCACACAGGAATAAGTCAGCGTAGGACGACAGCTGAATGACTTACGAAAAACCACCGATGTGCTGAGGAAGTACAACCAGCACTCTGTGCGTGTAGTCCAGACGCAGATACAAAAAGAGAGGGGTCGACTGAAACCAATACTGGTTTATGCAGTGTACAGTGAGTGACCGACCTCATGAAATGTTGACGGAAATTCTGAAATGCGTTTTGGATTAGGAAGGATTATTTGGTCGCGGTTGTAATACTAAGTATCTTGCGACTGAATCTTATAACGTTCCGCACTCGGCAGCATGTCAGTTTTTGAATACATTTCTTTTCAATCTCCTGTAGAAACCGTACTCGGTAAAAAAATGACAACTTATGTAGCATGCATTTTTCTCATTGATTTCAATGGTCTTGCAAATTCAAATATATCTTTTATGAACCATAAACAAAGTAGACTTTCTGTCAATCGTTTAATAGAGAGTCACGCCTTCTTTATATTTTACACTTAAAAAAGGAGTATAATTAGGTTTTAAGTTTTCTAATTGCCGAATAATTTGGAGCCTGATTATTTACAGCATTAGCGCTTAGTGATTTCAGTCTGCAAAGTGCATGCTCTCCGCGTAAAGAAAATCACATATTTTCTATGCCATTAAAAAGATATCATACAGAATCCATAAAATTTTGCAATGGATGCGGACTATGCTGTACATTTCATGAGAAGCTGTGATAAACGACCAGGTACGATTCTATGTGAGTGAACACTGCTCGGTCTTAAAAAATCTCATAATTGGAAACTTTTTAAAAACCTAATTATACTTCTTTCTTGAGTGTAAATATAAAGAAGATGTGACTCTCTATTAAACGATTGACAGAAAGTCTACTTTGTTTATGGTTCATAAAAGATATATTTGAATTTGCAAGACCATTGAAATCAATGAGAAAAATGCATGCTACATAAGTTGTCATTTTTTTACCGAGTACGGTTTCTACAGAAGATTGAAAAGAAATGTATTCAAAAGCTGACTTGCTGCCGAGTGCGGAACGTTATAAGATTCAGTTGCAAGATACTTAGTATTACAACCGCGACCAAATAATCCTTCCTAATCCAAAACGCATTTCAGAATTTCCGTCAACATTTCATGAGGTCGGTCACTCACTGTAACTCAGCAGCAGGAAAGAGAGAGAGAAAAGTGCTTCGCGCAAGTGTGGGCAGACTTCTGATCAACGTGGACGCTGAGGGATCAGTGGGAGTTCTATCAACTCTCGGTGAAATGGTCTCAGTTTTAACTGAAGCGTCATCGATTGCAAAATCCTTTTCTTGCCACTTTTCTTCCATGTAGCATTGAAGTCAGTGACGGAGTGAGGCAGTTCTAACACCAAATAACTCAGTGTGCAGGTGTGATTTTCAGATGCCAATGCAATCAAACCACCCACCGACCTTTAAATCCATCGGATCGTATGCTTCTATCATCACAAAAAACCAGTATAGGATAACTGTGCTGAACTTAAAGGGGCCGACCAGAAACGACCGGAAAACCAGCTCAGCCGATGCAGAATCCAACGGATCGGCAGACTAATTAGTCAGTGCACAGGCCCAAACACCCTCTGGTGACCCGATGACGGATCACGCTGACAAGCTACCGCTACCACCGCTGTCACACCGGTCGGTCGACAAAAAAGCAATCGAAGCAGAGATAGTGGTAGTCAAATCGATTCGCAGACGTATAAGCTAGTAAGAAATTTAAAATTTCCCCAAAAATCGCGTAATGCGGTCTCAGGTGTCAAAATCCTTTATCTGAAAATAGTTTGAGAGACTTGACTTATCTTGATAACGTTAGGCTTGCGGACCGTTGGGTAAAAGATGAAAGAGGGCATGAATTAACAGTCAATTCGCTGGACAGAACTGGAGCCCATAGCGTTCGACTTATAGCTTATGCGAGGGGACTTTAAATATTTATCTATCACTTAAAATGGTTTGTGTAAAGTGCCTAAACAATTGATTTAGAGGTTGAATTGTTTGAAGTATAAAATAAGGAGACGCTGTACGGATAAAACTTGGTAATAAGTAGAGGGAGGAAGGTAAATAATAGTCGGGTAAGCCCAACAAATTATGCTTATGGCCTTTCGATGCTAGTGAAATGGCAATAAGGGTGAGGGAACCTAAAACTTCAATATCTGAACTCTTTCCCATTACCAGCTGGCCATACCCCTATTTTAGGTAGAGCGGACCTGATATTTGACAGCAAATTCCCTTAGCCCTATCTCGTACAAATGCTGTCCAGGCGCCCTGTTACAGAACTTACTGGATTACTGATTGTCATTAAATGCATAACTCGTAGTTCTGTACGCAGATTATGCCTCCTCTTTATTATCTTGTTGGGATATTACTGAAAATGAGTAAGTCAACATGTATACGGTGCAAAGTTATCAAGTCAGAATGCCTGGACGAAAACGTTTATTGGAAAGTAAAATTTCCTGCCAAACAAAAAAATATTACAATTAGTTTTCCCGGAGGATAAGCAGACTACCTGAAAGACTTCAAAACCAGTCATCTGAGTTCCATTCAACTTTAGTGGTTTCCATGTGTGCTAGGAGCTATTCTGACCAAACGGCCTCTACCCGTAGGTAACGAGTGATTAAATATGATGAGGGTATGTACAGATGTTCTTTTAAATCAAACATTTCAACCAGTTTGAACGCGGATGAATATAGCATAAAAGTAAGTTCATGAGACCGGGTTAGCTGAAAGATCGATAAGGTACTACGAACAAGTATCTGTGGGTTTTCTCCAACGTTCAGCAGATCACTAGGTCTTGTTCCACTTTATGAACCCTCGTCCAGCTGATGTCAAAATGAGTGTCTAAACGGTTAGGAGTGGCCATCAAATGGATACCTTGTTTTCTGTCTCATGCCTCGACTACGGGCTCGAGCATTTGTCCGGAAAGTCACACGAATAAATGTATTTGTTGACCAGTCAAGTTTACTTCTTTTCGATGCATGGATTGTCCTTTCGCAGTAGTCTACTAGGTGTGGCGATAGCAACCAAACCAACTTGCCAGTTAGTTGCTTGCGCTGCATGTATCTCAGCTCTTGATTTGTTTCCGATCGATATTTTGGCCCTCACTGATTGGCCAGAGTCAGGTGCTAGAGCCTCCTGAATACCGTTGATCAGGTGATTCTTATCTCCTTGGGCTGACGTAAGACGAGAGGAGACAGCAGGGAGCAGGCAGAAACGGACGTAAAAAATGAAGAAAATTTCAAGTTAAGTTGTTTGATAATAACGATATTACAAAAAGCATTTAAAAAAATGATCATTGTCTTTTCGAGACGGCAAGCTGATTACGGGATTTACAAACAGCACATTCAATGACTTTGATACATTGTGAACTACTGGCAGTTTCTAGAGCAAATCACTAAGGCATTGAGAAGGCTCTCACGCCGAAATCCAAAGAGGTTGCTTTGAAAGGACCCGCTTTAAAAAAACCTACCGCACAGAAAATCCATGGAGCTTTTTGTTGGGGTGGATGTGAGTGCACTTTCTAGTCATGAAGTAATGGTAGCCATGCGGAGCCATCATGCACGAGAAAGTGACTCACGACCACTGGCAGTGGACCCCTCCCATCCGGGCTGAGCTAGCCAGGCCCAAACAGGATAGTCTCGCCTGGTCCCAACATCCACCAACAACATCGCCAACGCTCATCTTAACGCGACACTTCCTTCGGAAGATATCTTGCAGCGGCTACGAGTGCTCTCTGAGACCAGTGTCGCCGGCACGTGCATGTTTGCCGGTATGGCGTGCGTGTGCTCTTATATATGTGTGATTTGCTTCATTACCAATCTACGCTTTATGAGATGGGTGACGGCAGGTCCGACAGTAGAGACGAGGCCGTGCTTGCTTCTGCACCATAAGACAACCGGGTCGTTCCGACGTCTGCGTGTGCGCGCCAGTGAATCAGTGAGCAACACGTAGGCAGCAAATAAAAACCACATTTGAGAACGCGCACGCGCTCTCTTCGGCGTTTGGCGCACGCGCAAAGGACAGGAAGGGTGAAGCTGTGTCTGTGCATATATATACATATATGTCTGTGTTTTGTGTGTAAGAAAGCCTTATCTAGCCTGGGCACCCTCGTCATCTCCATCCACATGCACCCACACTCACACATATGATTTAATAAAAGCACCACTGCGAGCTTGTGCGTAAGATTAGTCTTCCTCCTCTCTCTCTCTCTTACATGCACGAGCACGTCTGAGACACACCTATAACCTCGCGAGCACATGCCTGTCCCACAGAGCCGCCTCATCGCACGCACGCACTGAGTCTGCAGATCATGGCGCCCAGCCTGATTGGATGACCTAAGGCGTCGCCGTAACGCCTGTGGCGTCGCTTCACCGCCAGCATGACGCACGCTCGTGCCTACTTCAGCGTCATCCGCGTGCTGGCGTCTGTACCCGCACTCACTCTCGGGAAACTGATTGTGGCCTGTAACAACTTCAACGACCAACGCGGTCGTTGTGCTTGTCGACAGCTTGGTGATACCTTTTAAGCACGACTCCATTGGTGAGACCTCGATAAGCGCTTAAGTTAGTCCTGTTGGCGCCGATGGTGACAGAAACTCTGTTTTAACTGTTACGCCCCCATGACCGTGGTACTCTCTCCAGCTTTTTCATTCGCCATTGTCTAAATCCAATGGTACCAAGCATGCCCGGTTGCTTATCCTGGTCAGCGGACGTCGCGAACAAAAGGGAAAGACCACCTATGATGAAAACATGAAGGCCGGACGCGGACGATGGGAATCAGGTGATTGAAACTTTGAACCCACTGTCTTGGTGCCACAACGAGCGTTCTTATCACGCAGGTAGGGCGAGGTTGTTAAAGAAAATGTCCCAAAAGATTCTACGATAGTTTGCAGGTAAACGACAGTGGAAGATAGGTCGGCAAAAAAACGAATGGCATTCCGCGGAGAGTTAAAAATACCTAACCCAGATAGGTTTACCAGTAAGTCTAATTTTTCATTAGGCAGCAACGGATAGCTGACAGTTTTAATGCAGAAGTTTTACCGACAAGGAGAAGGAAGATCAGAGTGAACATTTCTGGATTGCTTGCCCCCATTACCTAGCTTCGTCTCAACTACAGGGCTAAAAGATCTGAGATTCGATCCTTACCATGGATGGTTGTTAAGGGCCCACTTTACTAGCTGTGATCCAGAGTATTCGAATCCGAATGAGAATTACTTCCAGTAGTGTGACTGGACATCCGAACAGTAGATAAGTCTTTCTAATCTGAGGTCGGACATATGGGTGACCAAAGTTGCCATTTCCGTTTTCATTTCCTTGTCAGCAAGGGGTTTCATATTAGTTATAGATCATCGCTATGTAGCCGCCTGTAGGGATCTAGACTAGAACCCTCGGGATAAAGTGGAACACGCACATCCTGCCCCGAAATCAAACCAGATGGATGAATACTGGGCCGGAGCTTATTTCGTAGCCGCACTTGCAGTAGACAAGCCCCAGCCTAACCCCAGCCTTCAACCCTAACCCCTAACTCTAACCCCTAACAGACACGGCTATGAAATAAGACCTTGCCGAATGCTGTTCTCGGGTGAATTTGGATACAATGTAAGTAAATAGCAAACAGCGAAAGTTTGTTAAAGGCCTTGACATGGCACCCGTGCATACTGCAGGAAGAATCACAGCATTTTCCATCAGTCGCAGTTAACTAGTATTGGGTCTGTAGGAAAGTTTTCGTTCATAGCTAACTAGCATATGATGAAGGTTGGCTAAGGCTCTTTATTCTCGTTTCAACCACAACCTCGGCTTTCAAACGTGGAATCACTTCAAAACTGCATGGCAGCGGATAGTAAGAAAGAGGGCATTAAGCGTAGGACAAATAGTTAGCATAACTAGTTGTGAAACGCAGGAGAAATTTCTGCTTTCGGAGGCCACTTTTCTCGCTAGTGAAATTCTTCTCGGCGACACCATTCCAAGGGCGAAAGAAGAGTAGGGAAAGGACCCAATATGCGACCTAACTTCGCATATTACTTGTCACTGCCTACTGATTCATACGAAAGTAATGTTGTTGGGTTTGGGTATACTGATTGCCTCCTTTTAAGATAACAAAAATTTATGCTTAACTGACTTTCTCCTGTATCAATTTTTGGTTGGTATACACGATAATTGGGCATACTTAACCTTTGTTGGTCACTTTGGCGGCTTCCCTGTGTCCCGCTGTTCTGCACCATTGTGTCGTGCAGTTGGGTCAACATTCCCACTTTACTCTAATGGAATTCGCCAACCTCTTTTGTCCTGGGGTTTCTATTGGCTACTTTACTGCCTTGGTCTCTGAACTTGGCGCCTTATTGTGCAGGCGCTATATTTGGCTTCCTTCGGTTTTTGATGCTAAATATCGCTTGTATTCAATTTTCCGGGTCGTTTTAAAGGCCATGCACGGATATATTTGAACCTATTCGCGGGATAAGAAAATTTTTCCGAAACTTCATCATTTTTCACCGCTCTCTTTCCCATCCATTAGCCCTACCCACCTAACCCCTACTTCCACCGGTCCCGTAAGACACCAATGACCTCTCTTCTGCATTCTGGACGGGGTCGCATATTACGTCGTTGTCAAGAGTAATTACGGAATGCCGGGGTTCTTTGGAAAATTCGCGGTTTAAGATTGACTGTCAGGTGTCAGAGAACATATGTAGAATTCCTATTTTCTCTCCTTTTGCGGTGAGTGAAGGCAATTGGTAGGTCGCAGCCGCTCATACCTGTTAAGGAAAAGCAATAGTCAGAGGACAAGATCTTAGGAGAAGTTCCTAACGTGCACTTTAAGTAAGTTGCAACCAAAGAACAGGCTGTGTAGATGAGAGCAAGACCTGTGTGCGCGTCAAAATGGGTGTGCGTTTAGCGTGTGTTAGAGTCAACGTCCGAAAATTTATTGATTTCATAACCGATGCCTGGTTGCCCGAACTGAGCCGGCCAATGCAGTTACACCGATAGACGTATTTCGTGCGAATTACTGACCCAGGAAGTCAGGAGGATGCTGCTATACACTTCATCTGCTGTAACAGCTTCACGGAGACTGCAGCATTCTTCTTCTGGAAGAGTAACACCTACGACAACTCGTGACGACGTTTCTCCGGTCTTCGCTGAGTTCACGGGGAATCACCTGTCAGGTCGCTAGCATCTCTAGTGTCTTTCTAAGGTACTTAAGCACTGATTGGGCAACGCCTATTGCTATTGCCGTTGCACGAGTGGAGTTATGTTAGGCGTTCCCGGTTAATGCCGTTAACTCCTTTTTTGTAAGATGGATATTGTTCATGATCGCCAAAGTGGAGATTCAGATTTTCAACAAAGCTGACGGAGCCAACACTAGGCTGTGTATATGACAGCGGATTCGTTGTCTCTTGCGTAACGCAAAAGACAAATACAAATGGTCGAGAACGACTTCACCTAGTCAATCTCTGCGCGTACACCTCCTCAGACTTAGGTCTAAGACGTCCTATATGAGGTTAGGGACGCTGATTGGCCTCTGTGTTCCGATTGGTCAACTATTGTTCAAACACGCGGCCGGACGTCCGTTTGCCGGGAAGACCATGCTGACTGATTGATTAGCCTGTGTGTGTGTGGTAATCGATACTATTCCGAAGCTTGGTGATTTCCTGCTTCAAGTAAACGTTGATTGTCAAATGCTGAACACTGACTCGCGGCCAACCTTAATATAAGGAAATGTAAGTTTGCGTTCCTTTTTGTTTGTGAACTCACAGAAGAGTTTCATGCGCAGTTTTTCTCTTCATTCTTGGAAGCCCAAAATATCATAAAGTGAATGCTGAAGTCCAAAGACAATGCGGCCCAAAATTTTGCACCAGGGGACAAGACAGTTAGACCGACCCCTGAGCCGATCTATTTATGTAATACGATCATCAACTAACAAATGCCTTTTTGATCTAATAAACGTAGGTGAACCTCATTGAACGAAATTTGATGAAAAATGAGTGCTGATATGGAAAGCGTTTAGCCTAAAACCAACCCACTCACTAGTTTTTTCTGACAACACACATACCAGGCCTGTATAAGTAGCGCAGAATTCCTTAACGTGAGCTACAGGACCCAAATTATTGGTGCCCCAGAAGGGGCAGTGTTCACCGTTTATACATCGAATAGATTAAGTGACTTTGCGAGAGAGTGCCACGCTCTCCGTACAATTGCCCAAACCTGGGTCCAAATATCGGCATGGTCACAGCTTCTCTAAGCCCACCCCGAATCAGACACGCAAACCAAAGGTCTCCCTGACGGTTTGGACAGATGCTGTCTGCGCTGCGCCATCCTGCAGTCTAGATGTTTACTGCATTCTTGACTTGGATGATCCTGAGTCGCTGAGGCATCATCTCGTCCCCACTCCAGTTACCTGATGCAGCAGGCCACCAAAATGTTTGCACAACGTTAGTAAATTCGGGTTTCGCCAGGAAGGTTGAAAAAACATGAAAGCTTCCAGACTAGAGTAT